CAATGAGATTAGGTGTAATTTTTTCAACTAACCATATTAAAATGTGGGCGTGCGGCAAACCGCGCTTTTGCCATTCGACTGAGTACATCCAACATCGTGTTTCTCCAAAAATATGCATCTTTACAATGAAGTCCATTAAAGATTTTAATTTTTGCTTGAAGACACGTGCTGTTATATCGTGTCGATGTGCTGATGTTTGCCCGCAAGATAATTCGCTAGTGATTTCCTCCCACTTCGGATTGCATGTAAACGTAATGAATAGATCAGGTCTACCATAAGATCGCACATATGCCATAGCATCTTGCGTATATTCCTGCATGTGGCGTGGACTACCGGTGAATGTTGCTGGTAGTATTATAGCACGTCCTAATTCATTTGGATTTACATCAATATTACTATTTATGGCATCTTGCAAATGAATGTAATTATCCACTCGAAGTTTGGATTGATTGTGACGAATGTACATAAGACGTTCCGTCTCAATTTTAGCGTACATGTCAACAATATATTGATGAAATAGCTCCCGGCAGTTGACAATATGGTTTAATGTGTTTCTACGAATCATTATGCGATATGCATAAAAATTCATTGAACTCACTTGTTTATTTGTTGGTTCATCTGTAATTAAAAAAAAAAACAAATAAAAGAAATTAGAATTTAATACAATTGAGTTTGGGTACAAAGGTAACAATCAATTTACTTACTTGTCGATGTATTGATTTGTCGTAATCCGAAGTGGTATCCATCTTCACCATATGGGAAAATAATGGGATACTGAAGAGCGTCATATGATCGGTGGGTCTCAGCTATTCTACTTACTCTTTCATCCCGTCGGCGAATAATAATATCACGTGGCGCGGTCGGCTCACCAACTATCAATATTGCCACGTCATCAATCGTAGGTGCATTGTAGCGTCCTTGATGTTGCCCAGCCGGTGTTTTGTCAGCATGAATAGCAATGAAATGTTCATCTGAACACAGTCTTGGATCATCTCTAGCTTGCTTAAAAGTCCTTATTAGTTGATTGCAATCATGAAACATTTCTTGCAAATCAGCTACAACACGCTGCTTCGTTTCAGGATTATAACGTTGACGTTGTTGTACTTGTTCATCTGCTTGACCCATAAAATAAATTTGTAAAAACTTTGGATCTTCATTAGGAATTGGCAACAGAGATCCCATGCGGTGGTAAATTTGTCCTTGCACACGAAATGTTGGCATAAAGTTTTCTCTTATCACATTGGTAGCTCCAAAAGAGGTCATCTGAAAAGCAGAATTGTATTTTCTGATATTGCTTAAGAAATGTTGAGAATCCAAATGCGACCCTATAGAAAATAAGACAAAAATAATTAGTATTTAAATTAAATAAGATGTAAATATATAGTTTTTCTTACCTGTCATCAATGATAATAATGGTTGTGGTGGTGGAAGAAGTTGGGGTAAAACTATTTTTCCATTTGAGCAACACATTCCTGGTGTTTCGTGTTTGTATTTGTATGCATTACAGTGACGACAAACGTTGTTCATTGAACCTATAGCTATTAACTCATGGCTACCATAGTCCATTTCAGCTGTGTAGTTGAATGCAATCCGCTCGAAAGACACAGGAACTATCCGACGATGACGATAACTATCTTGCTGGCGACGATAAACATTCTGATCAATTGTTTCATTTTCTCTTGAAAATGAGGATCGAGAACGTTCAGTTCTAAGGCGACTCTCTCGTTGTTCTGACGTCTCTGTAGCTCTTGCTACAGATGAACGAACACGTTGGCTTCGAAGTCTACTTTCTCGTTGCTCCGGCGTTTCTGTAGCCCTTGATGCTGACATAAGTATACGTTGGCTTCCACGTCTACTTTCTCGTTGTTGTGTCGACTCGCTGGCCCTTGCTAGTGACGAACGAATACGCTGGCTTCCGAGTCTGCTTTCTCGTTGTTGTGTCGACTCGCTGGCCCTTGCTAGTGACGAACGAATACGCTGGCTTCCGAGTCTACTTTCTCGTTGTTCTGTCGACTCGCTGGCCCTTGCTAGTGACGAACGAATACGCTGGCTTCCGAGTCTGCTTTCTTGTTGTTCTGTCGACTCGATGGCCCTTGCTACTGATGAACGAACATCCTGGCTTCGAAGTCTGGTTTCCCGTTGATCCGAAGACTCTATACTTCTGGCTACTGACGAAGTAACACATTGGTTTCTGAGCCGGTTTTCACGTTGATTCGATGTCTCTGCCGATATTCTTGCTCGTTGGTTTTCCAAACGGGAGTTGCGTTCATCAGAAGTTTCGGCAGCCCTAGAAGTAGAAGCCTGAATTCTTCTGTTGCTTAGGCGTGTTTCACGCTCCTCTGATGTTTCGCGTTCTCTCTGCGATTTCATGGTTCTTGCTTCTTTTGTTTGTTTGGAAAGGCACGATTTTTTTGGTGGCATTGTAATTAATACGATGAATTTATTAAATACACGTTCAGCACTTTTGGAATCTATTATTCAACTAAACTACAAACATTTGGCGACATTTTATTTATGCCACATACATAGGTAAAAATAGTATCGTAGTTAAAAAAGGGGTACGTTTTCCATTAATTTTTTATTTGATAAAAATAAGTCCACAGGTAGTTTATCCATAATTAGAGTTCAAAAAATGTATAAGAATTAGGTAATAATTTTTAGGAAAAAATAAGGTCAAAAACAGGTACAGTTCCATTAAAATTTTATTCGATGAAAATATGTATTCAGGTAGTTTACCCATAATTCTAGTTTAAAACATGTATGAGAAAGAGGTAATAATTTTTATGAAAAATGCATTGTTCGTGTTAAAAAGTGGTAATTAGATATTTACCTAGACATATGCAATAAGTCCTCAAACATAAATTAATGTAAACAATTATAAAATTGTTTAAGGTGTTTTTGGGTGATATAGGTAAATTGTTAGATATAAAACTTGTATACATATAAGTACTACGCTTTTAGGTAATATATCTATTCATAGGTACAACTCATATTTAACCCTTTACGACCCAATGTTTCCCGCAGACAACGAAATATTTTAGAGCTTCTATTTAATTGAAAATACATATGTCAAGATCTGATTATGGACAACACATATCAAGAAAATTCAAAAACCTCAAATTTTTGGTTGAAAGAAAAGAAAACAGACTGGTTTTCACGAAATCACGAAAAAAATCGGGGCTTAAAGGTTTAAAATTTATTTACTGTAATTATACTGAATACTTCTGCCCCAATGTAATATCATAGATTCAGACACATAAAATCACACACTCTCTTTAATAGTCATATTACCAATACTAAAATATTTTCTTACTTCCGATATGAATTTATTGTGTGTACTTCGCAAATTCTTGCTTTTTTGTAAACAATGTACTGTCTAAATTAGCACACTTCAACACATATAGAATTGTATTATCAAATAATTTTTTTATATGAAAAATGTTTAGCAAAGACAACCAATAGGACACAATATCACACTTTGTGAATTGCCTAATTTAGACATACTGTACAGTTATTTACTGCACTTTTTATACAGTACAAATCACTCTGATATTTCTCATTTATCAATTCCACCACACCATTCATACATACCAATTGCGAATTGGCAACTCTTAAAGAAAAGAGGTTTGTGGATTAGGTAAAAAGGTGTATTCACCATTGTGTAATCTATATCTGTGGTTTGTATATTTACTAACATTTTGCTATAAATTACCAATTCTTATCCAATAAAGGGGGCAATTTGTATGGGGGCTACTGTTTCCCCTGACCCTATCAAAAAATTAAGTACCCTATGTTACCACAAATGTACTCACAAACAGACTGTGAAAATTTCATGATAATCCGTTCAGTAGTTTAGGAGTCTATAGCTAACACCTATCAAACAAACAAACAAACTAACAAACAAACAGAAATTCATTTTTATATATATAGATAGGTTTTATACCCTTCGCCACACTGTGGTACAGGGTAATATGTCTTTGTGCATATGTTTGTAACAGGCAAAAAGAAACTAGATAGACACATGGTTCCTTTTGAGAATATGCATAGAATCACTTTCCAAGTCGATTTATGCATGTCCGTCCCTCCGTCTATACATGTTAAATTGTGAACCAAGTACAGGTTTCATTTATGATCTTAATGGGATGAAATTTGGCATATGTAACTTATTTGGCCCAAGGTTTCGTGAAAATCGGTTCAGATTTAGATATATCTCCCATATATAGTTTTACGCGATTTTAGGTAAATGGTGCGCCAAAGTCCCTACAAATCGCTTGATTTGCACGAATTTTGGCACAGCGTACTGAATTAAGTCTAGAATGACATGTGTCAAGTTTCGTGAAAATCGGCTCAGATTTAGATATAACTCCCATATATAGTTTCGCCCCAATTTAAGGTTAATGGTGCACCACAGTCCCAGTAAATCTTTTGATTTGCACGAATTTTGGCACAGCGTACTGAATTAAGTATAGAATGATGTGTGCTAAGTTTCGTGAAAATCGGTTCAGATTTAGATTTAGCTTCCATATATAGTTTTGTCGGATTTAAGGTAAATGGTCATCCATGTCTCTAAATATCTTTCGATTTGCACGAAATTTTGGCACATCGTAATTAATTAGGTCTAGAATGATGTGTGTTAAATTTCTGAAAATCAGTTCGGATTTAAATATAGCTTCCATATATATTTTCGCCCGATTTTGTAAATTGTGTTCCAAAGTCTCTTAATACCTTTCGGCTTGCACGAAATTTGGCACAGCGTAATAATTAGGTCTAGAATGATGTGTGTTAAATCTGAAATCGGTTCAGATTTTGATATAGCTTCTATACCTGACCAAATGAAAAATTTATTATCGGTTGCAGAATGACATTTTTATGGATCAAATTTCATTTTACTGGTCCTTTAAAAATGCGACTTCTGTTAGGATTCATCTGTAGAATATACCCAAAGTGGTGAAGGGTATCCCCCCCGTCCGACTTTACTTACTGGTTATCTATACTAATAAAAGAGTAAAGTGATTGACAGACTGACTGACTGATTGACTGACTGACTGATGTAACGATTCATCAACGTCCAGACGAAGCGGCTAAAACTAGAATCTTGAAATTTTGGGTGAAGGTCACTCTTGGTCCAAATGTGACAGATAAGGCTGGGTTTTTGGAAATTCGTACTAGAACGGTAAGAAACTTACTAAAATATACTAAATGTGATACTATTTGTATTTGGCGAACCGGTGGAGCTAGAACTCTGAAATTTAGTTTGGTGGTCGTTGATGGAGTGTAGGATAGATGTACCAAAGGATTTTTGGAAATTCGAACTATTACTATCCGAAAAGTACGAAAATGTACTAAATTTGGTACAATTCTGTAGCATGTGAATGGATTGAGCTAAAAACTTGAAATTTGGAATGCAAATTAAGGTTGAGAAGTAGGGTCGATATGAGGAGAGTTGGGAAAGCGTGTACTCATTTGTACAAAAAGTACTATATGGTACTATATTTGGTACAAATTTGATTTGGAGGTACAAATCGAGCTGGAATCCTGAAAATTGAAAATAACATTACCGCCGGAGTGTAGGATTGGGATATGTACGTGGTTTTGCAATTTTTTTACTTATGTGTACCAGTTATAGTATTAAATCGTACTATAATTGGTACAATTTGGATTTGGGTGAACCGATAGAGCTGGAACAATGAAATGTGGTGTTAGGATCATTGTAGGGATGTAAGATTAGGGTCAGGTTTCAATTTAACAAATTAGTACTTATGGGTACTAAATGGTACTGAATTTGAATTTTAGGTGAACCAATAGAGCTAGAGTCCTGAAATTTGGAATCAGGATCCTGGTACTATTTAATTGTGGGTCAACCGATAAAGTTGGAATCCTTAACTTGGGTTTAGGATGACGGGGGGTTTGGATTGGGGTATGTAGGATGTTTTGGAAATTTGTACTAATGTGTACCAAATTTTGTACAATTTGTAATGTGGGTGAACCGATAGAGTTTGAATCCTGAAACTTAGATTTAGGATCACTGTGGGTGTGTTGGTTTGGGTTAAGTAGGAAATTTTGTACTACATTTGGTACAATTTGGATTGTGGGTCAACCGATAAAGTTGGAATCCTGAAACTTCGATTTACTGTGGGGGTGTATGATTGGGGTATGTAGAAAGTTTTGGAAATTGGTACATCTATGTACTAAGTTTGGTATAATTTGAATTATGGGTGAACCAATAGTGGGTGGCACTGCTGTGTACAAAATTTGGTATAATTTGAATAGTGGGTGGACCGACAGAATTGGAACCCTGAAACTTATATTTTGGATCACTGTGGTGGTGTAGGTTTGGGATAAGTAAGAGGTTTTGGAAATGCATATTACTGTGTACTAAATTTGGTACAATTTGAATTGTGGGTGAATCTATGGAGTTGTAATCCTGAAACTTGGATTTAGAATCACTGTTGGGGTGAAGTAGGAATTTTTGGACATTTTACTACTAAATTCGGTACAATTTCAATTGTGGGTGAATTAATAGAGTTGAAATCCTGAAATTTGAATTTGGAATCACTGTGTGGATGTAGAATCGGGGTATGCAGGAAGTTTAGTTAGATGGTTGAGGAGGGTACTTATGGAAATAATGTGTGCTAAATGGAAAATTTTATTAAATTTTAATTTGGGTGAACCTTTAGAGCTCAAATCATGAAATTTGGTACTAAATGGTAATCAAATTTAATTAATGGTCGATATTTTTTTCTGACATATGCCGTTATCTCTAAAAATAAAATAATATGTTAATACATTTTGAAATATTTCCTACATTCTCTAACGAAGTTGCGGGCATATGCTAGTTTTTTATAAAATCATTTGTCAAGGATTATTATTAGCGTAGATTTGTTAAAATTATTTTTGTACGGATTGTAAAAGCGTGGATTTTATTTTTTTTTTTCAATTATTATTATATTTTTTATCATTTCCCTGTAGTTGTTTAAATGCTTTTATTGGATATAAATATTCCCGATCCCATTTTATTGTGTAATTATCAGTGCCTAATTGATATTCAACTTCTTCTTCTTCTTCTGTGTTTGCTATACAATATGCTTGTCCGGGATATTTTCGTTTGTTGTGGCCATTTATTTGGATGAATGATTTTAACTAGAGTACTGGATAATAAATATTGTGTCTTTTTTTCGTTGTCCATTCGGAATTCATCATTAAAATTTAATGACATCAAATAAAACCATGCTTAGCATCAATTATTCGACATTAAAAATGGATTTAATGCTTGTGGAAGAAACAAAGTGGAAATAAAATGTGAAATTCCAAGGATAGCAAGGAGAATTAATGGTTGTTAAAATGATTTTGAGGCAACGTTTTATTTTTGT